GTAAAAAGTTTTGGGGTGGACAGTTTCTTCCCGCAGTCACCCCGACTTAACAACAAGATTTTTACATTTATGAGCTGCTTTTTTACCCCGAAAACCCCAAATCGCTCAGCAAACCAGAGATGATCTTTTGCCTGCCGAAATGTGTCATTTGCTGGCAGGCCGTACAGTCAGTAACAGCAAGAGCAATAAATTCTGCAGCTTCACAGGGAGCTCTGCTTAGGCAGAACATCTATCAGAAAATACAGATTTTGCTAAGGTTAGAATGTATTTTTGGTAATGATTTGCAGCATTCGGCAACAGCCCGTTGCTTTTACACCTCTAGTACGAGGCAGCCCGGCAGCAGGACACCTCCTAACACGGTCCCTTCACAACCAACTCAAATAAAAGCATCTTTTCACCAAACACGACTTGCCGTGGAGACCTGGGGTGTCCTTAAACGCATCTCAACGCGCCGACGGGGCCGTCACCACTGATCTGAGGTTTGACAAGACCAGCAGTGGAAGGGAACGTTACCACAGCACATCGGTATTAACCTAACGAGAAGCCCCAAATAAATTCAAGTAGCTCTACCAACTTACCTTAACCCTTCAAAAGCCCACATTACGGCAAAATTTGCACGAGCACAGAACAAAATAAGCCAGACAGGTGTTTCAAAATGAGTCTGAAACATATGAAGAGATACAGCACGTCCCGAGTTGCAAATCACTGTCGCCTGAACTATATTAAGTAGGGGGGGGGAACGAACATTTTAAGTCACAGATGTTTCAGTAGGTGTTCAGCTAGCAAAGATAAATATCTTAAAAATTGCCATAGAAATGGGGAAGCGAACACAGTCCACAGCACGGTCCGATGTGAATTAACCAAAGCTCTAGGAGAACATTTGCAGCTCTTGAAATAGCAAGCTCCTGAAGGCAAGATCCACGTTTTCTGCGTGTTGCTCAACACAAGCCACAATTTTCGATGTGGATGTGTCACCCCGCTCTCCTCTAATCTCAGACATAAGCGAGTTCAAAAGGGATTTTGACCTGAATTTCTAAACTATATCAGAAAGCTGCATTAGCTGTTAATGGCAGCACAGCCCAGATACCTCGATGCATCTCTTGGGGATGTCACCAACCGCAGACGGTCCCACTCAGGTCAGAAAACGCACTCCGAAAAGAGCTCTTACCTGGAGAAACACCCACCGAGCACATTATCAGAGTTCTCTTTTCACAGGCTTTCATCTAGAGTTGGACCGAATCTGAGCCTAGCTCTGGCTCTAAGACCTTTTATAAGCCCTCGCAGACATCCCCACGCAATGCTGCTTTTCAAAAGCCGAGGGCTTGAAGCTTATTTACGTTCAACCTTAAGAAAATTTGTTAGGGCAAAGCCTGAATCAATGTTTTACAACAAAGCCTGCCATGACTAAACACACAGGGAAAAATAACTTCCCTCAGAGGCGCAGCTCTGTTTACACAGAAAGTGGGAAGCCTTTTCCAGCAGCACTCGCTCACATCCTGTGGAAGCGACTGGAATCGGCAGCGGGCGAAGCAGGCTGCACCGAAACCCAACGCCTCCTCGAAGCCCTGAAAACAGACCCTTACAAATCAGTCGTGTGCTGGGAACACACGGAGAACAGAGCACCCCCATCCTCCCACTCCAAAGCTACAGCTGGTGTCACTCCTTCTGTTAAACGTGAAGATTACATACATTAAATTTCCCCGAGATTAAGGGCAGGAGAGGCGAGCGCATCCCCGCTATCCTCGGGAACAAACACCCGCCTCCAGAAGGTGCCCGATGCAGCAGCTAACAGTACCAGTGGCTTAAAATCCCCAAGTCAAAGGTAACACACGATCAACACCAGCAATAAACCATCCCAGATCTTTATACCAACCACAGGCAGGACAGTAGTATTTGTTCTGCAGGCGAGATTCCTTCTAGGGCTTCTCCGACAGCCAGAGAGAAAGTTTGAGTCTCAGAGACTAGAGGCTGTAGTAAAGTTGAATTAAATTAAAATTGAAAATTACACATGCTGCTTTTAAAAGTCCACGAGAGTAAACCAGAACAGGTTTGTAAACCAGCGCAATAGTAAAACCGTACAGTGCCTTTCAAACCCAAGTGTTTCACTTGCCACCGTGGAAAAAAATGCTGCTTGGGTGGAGTCACCCGTCAGTTAAAATACCAGGTAACGCAGCAGGAAAAACACACACAAACATCTTCGCTATGCGAAAACAACCGCTGGATGCGATTCTGCTTCTGCTAGAAGCATGCAGGTACAAAAGCCCTGGTGAACAGGACTGAACCCGATGCAGTAACAACTGTAATTTCTCCCTCTGCAAGAGAAGCATCATCCTGCCTCGGAAATAGCCCGGAACCCTGCCCGGGATCTCGCTCTCTTCTCTCCCAATTCTGACACCGGGGAAAGACCGACCCCAGGCAAACCTGAGGGACACAACCTAAGGGAAAGTCACCAGTATTCGGCCTTTCTCCGGCATCAGCCTAAGGAAAAGGAAGGAGAGATGGTGGTGGGAACGCGCAGGGCTACGGAAACGAGGAAATAACAGCAAGTCTCTCTTAACTCTTCAGTTAACGTCCAGCTCAGAGATTTGGCTCTCTAGAAGGGCCAAGCCCAGGCTGTGACCGCTGCGTTGCGATATGAAGCAGATCGTTAGGACACTGCAGCGTCATCACCGATTCGGGGCTTCACGAGGCCAGCTGCGAGGCAGCGGATCGATTCAGCCTTTGGGCTCCTTTGCTCTTGAAGGGCAGGGAGGGTAAAGACGACGTTACACCCAGGTTACAAATTTAGGTCAGCGGCATCTCAAATGTAATTTATTTTAATTCATGTCCCCTTTAGTAAAAGGGGAAGACTTCCCGCTGCTGATCTGCAGCACGAGCCAGTCTCACCAGTGATAATTAAAGCCATTTTAATACAAGCTACATCCCCAGCGATCAACTGGGTTATCTTACAAACAGAACACAGTGCCCATGCAACGAACCAATTCACCGTACTGCAGACAAGCATTTCAGTTTGCACGACTTCTCTTTTGTTCCTCCTCTGAGCGTTAATTAGAGTTTAGGTTATTAAGAGAGAGATACCAAGGCTCTGCTCCTGCAGTCGTGGCTCCTAAGAAATGCCCTGCCCGATTTGAAAACCCAAAACAGGCTTGAAGCGAGACACTTCACCCCGGAGAGGTTTGGGCAGCATCTTGCAGGCAGCATGAGATAATCCTGCCGAGCGAGACCCGCGCGTCAAGATGAGCCCCTGCAGTGTCTGCTCAGCCCAGCCCCGTTGTGACAAGAAAATAACAATAAATAAAGCCATTATCAAACCACCGACAGGAGATTATCAGCGAAGACAATGGGGGGTAACACCCCAAACCCTGTTGGGCTGTTAAATACCAAGCTCGCCACCGCTACTGATTTAATACAACGCTTTCAGGACCAAAACAAATATATATACGCACGTACGGCGAGAAGCACGCGAGGCACGAACGCGGATGCGAGCCGAGATGTGGATTTGCACGGAGTTATTTGGAGAATAACTGGAGACTGTGCCTCAGTTTTGTTTTTACACGTAGGAGACGGATAACTGGAGACAGAGCCTCACCTTTGTTTTTACACGTAGGAGACGTGAGCCTTCGGGGCAGCCACAGCACGCCGCAGCACCCGTCCCCCCCGCGCTGCCAGCCTGCGCCTCGGCGCTGCCCAACGCCAACACTGATTTTTTGGGGTAAACCTAGGTTTTTTGGGAATTTTTTTGGGGGGGGGGAGGGGGGCAGGTTTTGCCCACCCCCGGCGCTGAGGAAGACCCCGGGGCTGCCTTCGCCTTCCCCCCCCCCCCCCCAGGCGCCGCTC